GCTTTTCTTTCCAAGCTCCTTAGACTATGCCCAAATGCGTGCACATGGAATTTGCTGCAAAGATCCCTAAAACACAGTCAAGACAACAAATATAAACTAATATGGATGAACCCCCCCCCCAAAACAGTTATCTTTCTGTGATGATTTATCTGTGAGGGCACATTTGGTGTTATGGTCTCTAAATAAAACACCTCATCTAAATATAGTAAATCAAACTGTAGATTATTGTGAGGTTTTTGCGAGTGTGTGTTTCTGTGTGGCTTTGAGTTTCAATATGTATTTACATGAAGCTGAATAATACTCAGTGTTCCTGCGTGAGGAGGTGGTAAGACAAAGGGTCATCAACACGCACCTTCAGCACAGACTGCAAGCTCTGCCAATGCATACATGAAACAGTCCAGCGAACAACGTCTCTGTCACACTAATTAGCCTTAATTTACGGAAAATCCATCTCTACGTGATTTAAGTAGGTGCTCGTGCTATTTCAGGGTGATATTCTACAGCATATAAAGAGATATCTGGTGGTGCGTTCAATAAAAAGCAGTCCATGCTGTGTTTAGGGAAGATTAAGAGAGTCTGCATCTGTGCTGTCAGACCACTGCTGTGTGGGGCACTTAGACGATAGATTGGTTTATTATTTAAGACAAAATAACTATTTGGCTTTTGATCATTGAGCAGTATCGTCTGATTATTTATCTATTTTTTTTTGTAAGCATACATTTGGTCTTGATGTTGCTATTTGATCCACACATGATGAAACTAGTGCACTGGAGCAGGAGCAACCTCCCAGCGTAAAACCATCTGCCCCCTTATAGTGCTGCAAATGTCCTAGAACCGATCTGCTGTGGCCCAGTAAGGAGTTCAGTTTGAGTTTTGACGTGGATTGAAGAATGTATTTTTGTGGCATGCTGCAAACATGGATTGGCTCTGTGTGTGAAAACAAAATAAATATGAATTTATGAAACCGGTTCTCCAACCTTTTCTGGCTTTCCCCACCTCAGAATCTGAAGCTTTAGTCAGGCCCCTCTTCTGTGGAACCAGCTTCCAGTTTGGATTC